TCTCACTGTGAAAATCACAGTGAGAAGCACGCAAGCGCCTCTAGCGGCTGTCAATGAGACAGCCGCTAGAGGAAATAGGGGAAGGCTTAACCCATTCATAAACATAGCAGTTTCTCTGAAACTGCTATGTTTATGAAAAAATGGGTTAACCCTAGCTGGACCTGGCACCCAGACCACCTCATTAAGCTGAAGTGGTCTGGGTGCCTAGAGTGGTCCTTTAATGTAGTTTTCTGCATATTTAAATGATTAAAACAACATTTGAAGCACCAATATCGCTACACACCGCTGGGGTGGTTATGGTGCCACCAGTACCCTGGTGCCATCCCAGGGAAAGTAATCAATCCCTTTGAAAATGTTTTGACACCTTAACTGGGTTTCCACTAGGAATTGGCTTGCAGCTCCCATGGAGCTGGAAGCTCCTGCAAGGAGCCCTACCGTGCCATCCTGTCTTCGGTGCAGGAAACTTCTCAGGGCACAGGAGGGGGCAACCTGTGTCCAGCGGACCACAGGTAAATAATTTGGCTATTTACCCCGGAAGGACATAAGGAAACTCCTGGCAGTATAATCAGTGCAGGGGGGCGGTGTAGGGATTATGTGCTTGGAACGTTCCTTCAAATGAGTCCGTGGTTCTAACTGACATAATATTTATAATCCCATTAAATATAATCCATTGCATTCATGAGCAAGCCTAACTAACTATTACAGACAGCCATAACTGTTAAAGTTTCTGTTACCTTCTGGGTCTTTGCATATTTTACAAAGACCCCCAGTGATGGTAGTCGTGGAGTGCAGGGGAGGATATACTTACCTGATGCTGTCACCCACCACGCAGTCATTGTTTTTCTTCAGCTTCTGGCACCTCATCTGCCTTAAGGCCACATCATGAGTGAGACCACAACACTAATGTATGTAGAGGAGATGGTGGGGGCCACCATAGCTATTGTCTCACGATGAGTCAGACAATGCCTTATTCCCCCAGTCGTTCCTACCAATGATTGAGGGAAGTTTCAAAACTTGACAGAGGTAGCTCCACGTTTTGTCAAGCAGAGGATAAATATATAAATAGATGGAGAAATAGATTGAAAAAGATGAAAGGAAGAACGGATTAGGAGTGAGGAAGAGAAGAGGAGCAGATTGAAGCAAGATAAGTTTAGGGCAACATAGCCTTTTAAGGCAGCAAGCTAATGATTTCCATACCTGATTATGCACATCTAGCTTTGAACATCTTACGTGACAATGGCATTAAATAGTATTTTTACATTTGTAAAACAAATGCAGTGATCTGTATTTTTTTCCTGTAACTGACTCATGTTGTCTCTACTAGAACAATGTCTATGCATTTGTCACCTTGTGTTTTTAGCTTAATTAAGTATACGGCTTGTTTCCTGATTAGTGGAGTTCCATAAAACAATGTGGCATATTCAACAATGTCAGCTTTTTTTTTTTTTTTTTTTGCTTGTCTCATTCTCCTTATATTTAAAACAATAGCTAAGGTAAAACTTACATTTGTTTTTCTAAATAATAATTTCTGCTTATTTGAAAACAAAATTGTTATATTTAGGCCAAGTAATAAAAATAAATATTTTAAGATTGTCTTACTTTGTTCTAAGTAGAGAAAATGTAAACACTCAATATAGGGAATTTTATATTGATTATAATGATAATAATTATTATTATTATTATTATTTAATTTTTTATTATTTATTTAAGATACTTGAAGACATACACAAATCAGGCAAGGGGAATGATTAGTTAATCTATTTATAGTTAAACCCCCACCCCTCCCATAATATTGTAAAGCACTACGGAATCTGTTGGCGCTATATAAATGGCAATAATAATAATAAGAACAAGAATGTTTCAGTAAAAGTAGCTGTCATAGTTTGTTTGTAAAGGCTACTAATTCTGACCTAATCTGTCGAATTCTTCTCATTTTGTGACTTTAATATGTTGTGAGAGAGAAGTCACTGACATCTATCTGTGGCTCACAAACAGGTAGAGATTACAAAGTTCAGAGTGATTAGTTCATGTTAGAGAATTATCCTTGCACACAAAACACAGTACCTCTCTCAGGGCTCAAGACTGGAGTTATTTTATTGATTTATGCATCCTATTACTTTAATGTAATGTGCTCAGAAACCTCTTCTGAAGTTCCCACGGGATTTCTAAGTGCATTTCAGGTATTATTAGTGGTTAAGAGGCCTACAGAGACAAAACGAAGTATACGGACATTTATGGGGGTTGTATGTCAGGAATATTTTAGGTCAGATTGCTTTAGATTTATCTACTTTGGCTGTCTTTAAGTCACTAAGCTGTAGGTACCTTATGTGCTGCACCTCTAGTTCTAAAAAGGGCCAGTGGGATTTACCACTCTTTAGTGCGGTCATTAGAATTTGTATTAGCTGAAAATCCCACGATTTTATCATTTATTTGTAATCACAATACATTATTTACTGTTCATTCAGGACAATGAGCTTATGGCATGCATTGAAAAGAATACATGTTTTCCTTATTATTCCCATAGTTTTTTATTTGTATTTTTAGGAAATAATTGATGAGTTGACCATCAGTGAAGTGTATTAGCAAGTGGGATAGAATTTATCAACTGGTAGACATGTTTATATGTACAGGGGTTGCATTATATCCATTTGATGAGGTTTTAGAATTTAACCCCTTAAGGACCAAACTTCTGGAATAAAAGGGAATCATGACATGTCACACACGTCATGTGTCCTTAATGGGTTAAAGGGACACCATAGTCACCAGAACAACTACAGCTTATTGTATTTGTTCTGGTGAGTATAATCATTCCCTTCAGGCTTTTTGCAGTAAACACTATATTTTCAGAGAAAAGGCAGTGTTTACATTACAGCCTATGGATTCCTCCACTGGCCAGTCCTCAGATGGCTACTAGAGGGACTGTGCAGCACTGACATTCAGTGTCTCCACCCTCTGCATGCAGACACTGAACTTTGCACATAGAGATGGATTGATTTGATGCATTTCTTTGAGTAGATGCTTATTGGCCAGGGCTGTGCTTGGCTTGTGCTGGCTCTGCACCTGATCTGCCCCCTTGACAAGCTCAGCCAATCCAATGCTTTCCTATGGGAAATCACTGCGATTGGCTTTGATCAACACTTCTGATAATGTCAGCCAAACAGGGAGATCAGGTGCATAGCCAGCAGCAGCAGACTGTAATAATAGTAAAATTTCACTATATTTAGTTGGGTAAAGGGTGCTAGATAGTGTTTTTAACACTCTAGGGTAAGAAATACATGTTTGTGTTCCTGACCCTATAGTGTTGCTTTCGGAGTAGCACTCTGAACTCAAGGTATACTATAAACAGTGCTTTGTTTACAAAATGTTACAGCAGTTGACACTGAGAGGACGGGAATGTCTCCTTGTAGGAGACGGTGGTCTACCTTGGAAAAGATATGGTGGAGTGAATGGCACCAAAGTACTAATTTCGCAGGGAATTCATTCAACTTTAACTGAAGGTTGAACGCTGCAAATCTCCATCAAACAAATCACCCAACTTTCTTTATAGGAGGGAATGTTCCTCTAGTCCTTTACTATAAAAGGAGATAATAGATTTTGGGTCTGTTTGAATGTATAGGCAATAGGGTCAAAGTAATACAGCCAATAGTTAATAGTTGTAACAGCTATGTGCAATTATACTTTTGTAAATCTATTAAGAACTTCGTTTGTGAAAATAAAATGCATTGATCCATCCTAAATAATTACTTAACTCGGTAGAAGATTAGAAAAATATGTAAAATGAATGCTCAATAAAATTTCAAAGTACAAAATGCCTTATTTCTAGTGACCGCTAATGTTAACCACATAATAAACTAGTATTTCATTTATACGGCACTTTTTCTACGGCACAAGTTTGAAATCTTTTTTTAGCATTCTACTGTTGCTCAGTTTGTTTAAATCTCTATCCAACCTTTAAAGTACTGCTGTCCTATATGCCATATTCCTATTGCTATATTAATTCCTTTGCCATCATCAGTAAGTAAAAGATGCCTGGAAAATTCTAGTACTTCCTAGTCCAAGAGTAGGCAACCTTTGGCGCTCCAGCTGTTGTGGACTACATGTACATTGATGTTTTACCAGCATTATGGCTGCAAGAATTATGGGAAATGTAGTCCATAACATCTGGAGTGTGGAAAGTTGCCTACCCCTGTACCACACATCCTTCCACATCTCCGGAAAATAAAATGTCTTTACTTGTTTATCTAAAATGTTGAAAATGATGAAACCTAGTCAAAGTAGTCTACTTTCTATCATAATACCTTGGGTCTTCCACCTAGAAAACAGAAATATATGTGATATTTGTAGTAAGATGTACAGTATTACAGTGATAAGCATTACTGTGCCTGTAGGACCTAGTGGAATTAAATGCATGTATTCCAGCTAGGTTGAGAATACGATTCCTATGTTGACAAACTGACTGGATTCCTGGTCATTTCTCGTTCAACGCATTTGCAAATCAAGCCATTGACAATGCATCCTTAACCTGCAATATACAAGTTCATAGCAACTGCAGATAAGGGTAAATCAATGCAAAGCAGGACGTGATAAAATGGTGCACAGATGTGGACAACATTGCTGCAATTTAAGTGAGAGATATTCTAGACGGGTAAAGTGAATTAATAAAGGCACGTTTTAAGAGCTGCGGAATTCCATTATGTAATGAAGGTACTGTTCCTATGTTAAGAATATTTATTTTAGACCAGTTGTAATGTGTTAATCAACCACTCTCCCTGATAAGGTAGCAACTGTGAATGTAGACATATCAAACAAGGCTTCTTTAATATTACCATGGAGGGGAGAGGGTTGTGAACTTATACTAAATTGTCAAGTTATACTCGGTGACTACTATTTGAGGTAGGCTTATGACATAGTTATGTAAAAGCACCTGTTCCTAAATCCTCCAGTGAGATTAACTGATGTTTTATAATATAATAATTTTCTTTCTGGTTTCATTTGTCTTTAGGAGATAAAAATAAATCCACTTGAGATGTGACCACACTATGTACAAAAAGGCAAGTATAACTGGAACTGGGAAAAAGCAAAAAAGGAATACAGGTCATAGAGAGGCCATATTAGCCACCTGCATGACCTCAAGACTTCAAGACACTAGTACAACACATACTCTATAAAACACATACATTGCATACACTACACTGACACAATCTGCATACACTAGTACAACACACAATCTGCATACACTAATACAACACACACACTGCATACACTACACTGACACACAATCTGCATACACTGGTACAACACACACACTGCATACACTACACTGACACACAATCTGCATACACTAGTACAACAAACACACTGCATTCACTACACTGATACACAATCTGCATACACTAGTACAACACACACTGCATACACTTCACTGACACACAATCTGCATACACTAGTACAACAAACACACTGCATTCACTACACTGATACACAATCTGCATACACTAGTACAACACACACTGCATACACTACACTGACACACAATCTGCATACGCTAGTACAACACACACACTGCATTCACTACACTGATAGACAATCTGCATACACTAGTACAAAACACACTGCATACACTTCACTGACACACAATCTGCATACACTAGTACAACAAACACACTGCATTCACTACACTGATACACAATCTGCATACACTAGTACAACACACACTGCATACACTAATACAACACATACACTGCATACACTACACTGACACACAATCTGCATACACTAATACAACACACATACTGCATACACTATACTGACACACAATCTGCACACACTGCATACACTACACTGACTCACACACACTGTATTCACTACACTGACACACACTCTGCGTACACTAGCCTAACACACACTCTGCATCCACTACCCTAACACACACTCTGAATTTACTACACTGACACACTTTGCATTCACTACACTGACACACAGTCTGCACTCACTATACACACAGCATTCACTATACTCACACTACATCCACTACAGAAACACAGACACTGCATCCACTACACACACTGCATACACTAGTACAACACACACCCTGCATACACTACACTGACACACTGCATTCATTACACTGACACACACTCTGCATCCACTACCCTAACACACACTCTGCATTCACTATACACAAAACATCTACTACACACACACATTCTGCATACACTACCATAACACACACTCTGCATTCACTACACTGACACACTCTGCATTCACTACACTGACACACAGTCTGCACTCACTATACACACAGCATCCACTACACACACATTTTGTATTCACTATACTCACACTAAATCCACCACACATTCAAACACTCTGCATTCATTGTACACAGACACTGCATCTAATACACACACATTATATCCACTACACAAACACACACACTGCATCCATTACACACACACTACATCCACTACACAAACACACTCTGTATTCACTGTACACACACTACAGCCACTGCACACACACTACAGCCACTGCACAAACACACACTACATCCACTAAACAAACACATTCTGTATTCACTATACACACTACACAAACACACACACACACTGCATCTAATACACACAAACACTACACACATTACACAAATGTAAAATCATTATACACACACTTTGCATCTATTGCACGCATTCTAATTCTACATCCACTGTACACACACCACTTTCAGTTCTGCATTCTTGTGGGCAGTCCCAGAAAGAGCCCTGTGGGTGGAGTCGGGGATGGGCCCCCGGGGCCCAGACCTTCAGCTTTGTTAGGGGTCCCAAAATTTCTGATGGCAGCCCTGTGTGTGACTTTTAGTTTTTAAAGTCTAACTTATGAATTTGGTAACTTCTAAAGCAAAGACCTAAAAGTGAATGTCTATAGGGATCGTAAACAGTCCAGTTATTCATTTATAACTGGTTAGTTTTGAACCAAGGAGCGTGCATTTTTTTTTACTGTTTTTCATTCTCTTTCAGCAATGTCTCACATGGATAACATATTAGATGCGCGTCCTGGCACTGCAGGTGTCAGGGTTACGGATTTTGGATGGCAAGGACTGCTTAACCCAAATCCACTAAACAGAGACGATGATGAAGGCCTTGTGGATGATTATCTTTCGCCGGCTAAACTGGTAAACCACCTGCATAAGAAAATTAAATATCTCAGTATCATTGTGCTACTGTAAGCCAATGTGACATTTGAAAGCTGAGACAACAAACCTTTTGCTGTCTCTCAACCTAAAGCTTACATCAATCGAAGTACATGTTTAAACCAGTTAATGGATACTTCTATTGAGGTGACATTGGGTCTCGGAAACTGAATATTTTGACCTTTAATTCTGTTCTTTATTTATAATATTCTTTTTTCATTAACAGAGAGCTCTTACTGGGGAGGAGAATCTAACAGAAGTTAGGACACTCCAGATTTGCTTGAACACCGGGGAGCACAGCCTGGGGAATTTTGGTGAGGGATACTTTTTAGGTGAGGGGTGAAGCTCACCTTTTTAAAACAGTTTTATTCCATAATATTCTTAACTCTGCTGTGAATAAGGTTGACACAAGTCCATCAAGGTCAATCAAGTAACCAAATTAAAAAAGAAATCTCCTGAACAGACAATTTAGTTATTTTGGCCTTAATTTTGCAAGTTGATTATCAACTAACCATAATTCACTGTGAGGTGAAGAAGACATCAAATATCTCATATATTCTAGACCAGTGGTTCTTAACGTTTATGATAAGGATCCACATTACGTACATGGTTAGGTTTGGAAAACCATTCTTAATTTGCAGTGCCATCTTAACAACATTACTCAGAACTCACGACTTACAAGAATAAAACTGTAAATTATCGATTAAATTAAGATTTATTAGTACCTCCAACAAATGCAATATACACACAGAATGCAAAATACACACAGGCTGCTGTATACACACAGAGGCTGCTGATTACAAACACTGGTTGCTGAATACACATACACACAGACTCCTGAATATAGACAGACTCCCGAATATAGACAGACTCCTGAATACAGACGGACTCCTGAATACAGACAGACTCTTGAATACAGACAGACTCTTGAATACAGACAGACTGCTGAATGCATACACAGAGACTGCTGAATACACACAGACAGACTGCTGAATATACACACAGACTGCTAAATGCACACGCGGACTGCTTAATACACACATACATACTGCTGAATACATACACACAGACGGCTGAATACATGCACATAGACTGCTGAATACAAACATATACTGTTAAATACTCACACAGTACACACACAGACTGCAGAACACACACACACATAAACAGACTGCTGAATACAGACAGACTGCAGTGTGTGTGTGTGTGTGTCTGTGAGGGGTGCAGTGTGTGTGTGAGGGGTGCTCTGTGTGTATGTGAGGGGTGCTCTGTGTGTATGTGAGGGGTGCAATGTGTGTATGTGATGGATGCGCTCTGTGTATGTGAGGTGCTGTGTGTGTATGAGAGGTGCTCTGTGTGTGAGTGGTGCTCTATGTGTATGTGAGGGGTACTCCATGTACGTGAGCTGTGCAATGTGTGTATGTGAAGGGTGCTCTGTATGTATGTGAGGGGTGCAATGTGTGTATGTGATGGGTGCTCTGTGTGTGTGTTTGAGGAGTGCAATGTGTGTATGGGAAGGGTGAGGGGTGATGTGTGTGTGTGTGTGTGTGTATGGGAAGGTTGCTGTGTGTGTGAAGGGTGCTGTGTGTGAGTTTAAAGGGGTGCTGTGTGTCTATGTGAGTGCTGTATGTGTATGTGAGGGGTGCTGTGTGTGTGTGTTAGAGGTGCTGTTTGTGTGTGAGGGGGTGCATAGGGATAAGGGATTTTTGTTATTTTTAACAAAGGAGCTGCAGGCTGTATTCACTCTTCCCGCGAGCAGAATACTGTATCGGAGCACTGCCGCGGTATCGCTCTGACAGCATGCTCGCGGGAAAAACTGCCTCCCAGGTCCTACCTCTTCCTAACGAAGGGACTTTGGGCCAGTGAGTGAGATCTATGATCTCCCCACCGGCCCGAGAGGGCCCATAGCAAGGGAGCAGGGCCTTCTTTCTGTAATGCCAGCAGGGGAGATCAAAGGATCCCCCATGTTGGCCCAGTACATGGGCAACACTGTGCCCGTGCGGAAAGACGATCCTGTCCATTTTCCTTTTTAGTTCACCGATTTATTCCTTAATTGTGATATAATTAAAGAGCACCTTCAGCAGTTTCTTCCTTTTCATCCCACTGTCAAAGGTGTCTCCACGGCTGTCTCACTATTGTAACCATTTTTTGTGAACCATTGCCTGGGGCCAGATAGATATGATGAGCCTGTAAGGACTCACTGAAATAGCTCAAATACCATTTTAAAATGTTCTACTCTGATAATAAATAAATAAGGGATTGCTGTGTTTCATATTTTCATATAAAGTAAGCTTCCACTGTGTGTGCTGTTTTAAGAATTCATACAATAGAGGTAACAAATATCTATCATCTTTCTTTCTACCCCAGGTTCTTATATGCCCAATCTTCGGCAACTCAAACTCAACAACAGCCTTATATTATCTGTGAGGTAAGGAGATTATCTGCACATTTAGGGCTCAGTTACAACCTTGTTGCTACTTTTCAGCAACCAGTTGCTACTCGTTACTGTTACTACTGTTAAAGGGACACTATAGGCACTCAGACCACTTTATCTCATTAAAGTGGTCTGTGTGAAGTGTACCTGTCCCCTTAACTCACGCTTTGCATGAGGATCTCCAGCGTGGGCGTCCGTCACATGCACATTAGGTTCCTCCTTGCAATGATGTCAGAGGAGGCTGAAGCACTGCCAGTACCGAGGGGGGAGGGGGAGGTGTTCATTGTTGGAAGGCTGTATAAATATTTCAGCTTAACTGACTAGTGTGGCACAGTCATTATTGCACAAACAAGCAGTACACAATTAGAAACTATTTGTTTTGTAATCATTATGAGGATAATATATTTTAAAGGGGAACTAGAGTTTTTAGATTGCTTACTTAAATCCTAAATTAATAAATTTACATTAGTGATGTTTGTAAAAATTGGAGAGGAGATTTCTGCTATCTCCTTTTCTAAAGCAATATGCTCGCTGGCTGTACCAAAAATGAACTGAATCAATATATGAACTCATAAATCTTTAATATACAGTTAAAAGAAAATGGTGCATCATGTGAAAATAAATGTTCAAACAAATAAAAGGTTAATTTAAACCATTTTATTCAATGGTATACTTTCCAAAGTATCTCTGTATACAGTAATATGTAATATCAGGATTGCTATCTGTTGTGTCTATTTCTGTCTAATACGATTTTTTCTATAGAATCCTTATTTCACAATCTCTTGATCATTTGCTACTGTTCATCACGTTCTTTTGGTGGTCTAGTATTAGAACAAAAGGCAAAACATATTTACTTTTACATATGTGTTTGCGCAAATGCGGATTGCAATAAATATGGCTACATTGAAATTGATGACGATGTCACTATCAGCTAGTTCATTGTGCTATGTTTTCTTTAATTGTCTTTTTAATATGCTTTGTGTTTCCTTCCAGAGATCTTGGTACTTCCCTATCACATTTGGAGGTGCTATGGATGGTTCGGTGTGGTATTACAGATCTCGATGGCATTGCCTCATTATGTGCCTTAAAGGTAATCAGAAGCATGACACGTTTCATTGACAATATTTCACTGCAGCTTGCAGTGAAGAATAGTGCATGATTCAAACACAGTTGTGATCAGATATCTACAAGTCTAAGTGCTAATAATTCACTCTGATTCTTGTGAATAGAAGATTTAATTTTTCTACCTCTTTTCTCAGCTCCTGTATTCATACACATTGTTGGTACAGGGATAATACAACCCGTGATTATTATTTTCCATGTGATTTCTTGGCATTTCTGTGCCAGTTAAAATTACAATTACATTTAAAACTAAGCTTGCCGTAGTCTGCTTCCACTAAGACTAAGTGTCAGATCTTCTACTTCATCTAAGTGAAAATGACAAGCTAGACTTCATTCTCGCATCTCATCTATAAGCATGGTGTATGTCATTTTTAATAAATATCTGTCGAAAGTCTGGTGTATGCTAACATTAAAAAAAAACTCACCTGCTGAATTAAAAAAAGTAGATATGCCCACAATTAATTAAATCATGCATCTTTTCATTTGGGTTATATCTTAAAACAGCGCACAAAAGCAGCAAATCTGTTGTCTGTTTTTTTTGCACACTCTCACTTCTAACCCTGCCTAGATTTTCTGTGGCTGTCCAATCATGTACTTCTGAATGCAGCTCAATAAGAAGTCTTTGCAAGGCAGGTGCTCTGGGCAATTACCTGCCACTTGAGTTTAGCTCCACTGAGCTAAACAACCAGGAAGTAACAGGACCTGTTATCTGATTGACAGTTATGGGGGAGTAACAAGGTTAATTTATAAAAGTGCCAATATGTATTGAAAATGAAAAAAGAAGACACAATCTTCACACATAAAGCACCTCCGTAACATAAAGTGCATTAGGGGTCTAGAGTTTCCCTTAATGGGATTATTCTGTAAATAAAAACATGTTTGTATTCAAATAAAATAATTGACAAATTTCATCTAAGGTAGTCAAGCTATAACTCATGTATTTTAGTCTAAATTTTGCAGTTTGGTTCCAGTGCAGTACAATTTGCTGTTTAGTGAATAAATCACCAAGCTCTAGAAAGGCCTTGGTTAGCGGCCCATACATTGCTGCTTGTATTATAAACAACACTAAAACCACTTTGTGAGTAACCCCTGAGTGCCTGGACCATGTGTGTTTTATTACATGCCTATGCCGGTTATACCTACCTCAATTCAGCTTGCAGCTTGTGGTTGGGGCATAGTGTGGTTCCTGGTTTTATTAAAGCAGTTTATGGCTGGGAAAGGGCAGTCTCTGTAACGGACCGTTTTGCTCACCAGAGGTTAAAAACCGTTTAGGTGATATTCCCCTTTCCAGATACACCGACAGCTACTGTAAGCACCGATCTCCCGAACTGGAAACACATGAACACTGGAAATATCCGAACAGGAAAACCATACGAAAGGGTTACACTCCTGGCAGTCAGTATAAAATCCAATTCCCCCAATAACGAGACGACACTTCGTTTTTAGGGTTAAGCAGAATCTGACTGTACTGGCACATACAGCCTCTTTTATTCTCAATCCACAAATTTAGTACTGCCCACAGGGTTTTACAGAACAACCAATCAATCTGTACAATACCCACAGACACTCCCACACAAAATCCTCCCCTCTGCCTATGATTCAATTATCTTACACAATGGGTAATCTAATTATTACAGACAGAGAAATACAGTTTCATAAAACACATCACAGGGACCCCAAAACATGCAATAACCCTATAAAAAGTATATCCTCGGAACCGGGGGATCTGGGTGAACCCTGATCCGTTCAGTATTTTGGAAGATACAGTTTAATGCAGATTCCGCAGAACATATACAGGCTAAATGAAAAACAATCACTGTATAATGTTTCCCCTGCTGTATAGTCAAAAACCACTACACGATGTCTCTGGGCACCAAATACTGGCAAATACACCAAGTCCAAACAGTGTCTGTGAGTTAAAATGGCCGCCATCCATTGTTCTCACCATGTGCTTCATCCATTGTTCTCACCATGTGCCTCTGATACAGGAAATGGTGGCCACCCAGTAACTCCACAGTATGTCCCCAGATGGTTCTTAAAGGGCCAGCAGCAGCACAACACAAATCCATTATGCCCAAATCATGTCCTTAAAGGGTAATACATCGCAGGGGCCATAGTCACATGGCAGGAGGCTGGCAACCAGGCTTCTCCAGTGCATAGTGGCGAGGTTGGTTCCGCCACAGTCTCCATGCATCTTCTAGAGCCTGGTCCTTATCTAACCACTCCAAAACGGTTTTAGAAAGTACCAGGGGGTTGAACTTTAGTGATTAAGTGATTATGTTACTTAGTTTGTCCCTTTAAGACACACAGGAGGACCTCACAACAATGGCCAGAACAGCCCCAGGAGTGAGCAACCCAATGACATATGTCCCAGTGGGCTATTCTAACATTGGATGATACCAGCAGGCTTTGCATACTTGAATCCTTCCTATTCTTTTTTTGTCTGTAATCATAGGCAACATGGAAATAATGCATAAACATCACAAGAGCAGGGACATGTGCATGTGATTTGAGGTTATGTCTGTTGCTTGACCTGTCTTCTTGACTTTATAGGAGCTTTACTTAGCCTTCAACAACTTGAATGACCTGAGCCAGGTTAGCATGCTAGAGCATCTGGAGATTCTGGATTTGGAAGGAAACAACCTGGATCATATTAGGGAGCTGCAGTACCTAGCCCTGTGCACCAACCTCACTACCCTCACCCTGGAGGGTAACCCCATCTGTGTCCGGCCTAACTTGCAAGTTACAGACGTGAGTTATTTCTTTTTTTTTGTGAATATGATTTTTATTCATTTTGCGTATTTAAATTTGCGGTGAGACGCGCAGGTCTCCATTGCATGTTATTATAAAAGGTAACAAATTAGGCTCGCAGGCCCCATCACAGAAGGACTCGCAGGTCCCCATTTTCTGGTATTTACATTTGTTTGGGAATGTAAATTAAGTAACGTTTACATGAACTGAGTGAACATAATGCTTTGTAATCTTCCTTGAACCAGATTAATCAGTCTTTGATTAGGTGTCAGTGTTTGTAGGCCACCCCTATGGTCCCTGTCCACGGCGTCTCATCGGGCCCTGTGTCCTTAGCTATGTGTCATCGTCCGTGGTGGGCTTGTGTTTACCCCCGTTATTACTATCGGTGTTTCACGTGTTTAACCAGGGGAATGGTGGTATTGCGGGGAAAGGGTACCCTTACCTTGGGCGTGTGGATACTGCATTAGCCGTGTCATTGCTGGGCCTGTCCAGGGTTCCCTCAGGTGTTCGCATGTTTTGGCTTTGGGGTGTCTTCCCGGGCCGGTCTGGATGTAAGTACCAGCTCGTGTTTGTTGATCGTTCCCAATTATGTTTTCCCTTGTCGCTATGGGTGCGGAGGGGATGATTCAGTCAATGATGATGCTCTGGTATTTCGCAGGGGGCAAGAGGGGGGGGAATGTGTCTGGGTGGGAAGAAAGGAAGAAGGGGGGGGTAGTTCCGTCCAATTCGTCTGTCGACCATCTAGCGTCGTCTGGGGTGTGTGTTCTGAGTACTATCTGTCTGTGTCGTGGTTCCCGTTAATGTTAGGCCTGAGTTCTAATTGGAACTCTTCTTTTGCCGTCTCTAGAATCCAGTGCGTCCAGATGCTCATGTAGGTAGTGGGTGTAGTGTTGGCCGTCATGGTCAGTTCCTCTATCGACCTTAGTTCTTCCATTTGGCTAAACCAGGTCGAGAGTGGAGGTGTAACTGTTTGTTTCCAGAATTGGGGGAGCACTCGTTTGGCCACGTTAAGTATTCTAATGGTCATGGATTTTTTGTATTTGGATCGGGGAACTGTTGTGTGGTGTAGGAGCATCGCTGCCGGTTCCAGGGGGGGGGGTGCGTCCGCGAACTTCTCTAGCATTTTGTGTATCCTCTTCCAGTATGGTTGGATCAACGCGCAATCCCACCAGATGTGTTTTGTGGTGCCCACCTCTCGTTCACATCTCCAGCAGAGTCTGGAGTGGTCTGGGTTTACGTGGTGAAGGAGATGTGGTGTCCTATACCAATGTGTTATAAGCTTGTAGGCCGTTTCCTGTGTTTTGCTGTGAGTGGAACAGTGGTGTGTAAGGTAGCAGATGGTTTCCCATTCTGCTTCCGTTAGTGTGTTACCCAGGGCTGTTTCCCATTTTCCCATGAATAGCGGTGTCTCGGACGGGGTTTCTGATTGGAGCATGGAATATAAGAAGGACACTCACTGCGGGAGCGGATCTGGGTGTGAGCTGACCACTTCTATCGTGGTCTGGTCTCTGGCCAGTGCTGGTCCCTGCGGCAGGGAGTGGATGTAATTGGTCAGTTGGGCATGTCGGAAGCGGTGCATAAAGGTCGGGGGCGTCTCTCCCATCAAGTCCGTTAGTGTTTTACATTTCCCACCTTGGAGGAAGTGGTGTAGGCGTGGGGTTCTGTCTGGGAAGATGTGTTTGAGGGTTCCAGGGTCCAGACCCGGCGGGAAGTCCTCGTTGTTTGTCAGGGGCAGGAGGGGGGAGGGGTACGGTGCCATATTCCCTTTCTTTGCGGCCTTCCTCCAAACTCTCATAGTGTGTCTCGTGTATATGGACATGTCACCTCTATCGGTTGTGTCTCTGCCCCAGGGAAGCCCCGAGATCGGTCTGCCTGCTTCTGCCTCTTCCACTGTCTTCCATAGTTTGTGAACTCCGTCTTTAGACCACTCCATGATTCTCTGCAGGTGTGTGGCTACGTAGTACTGGTGGAAGTCTGGGAGGGCTAGTCCCCCTTTGTCTTTAGGACGTGTCAGTGTGGAAAATTTCACTCTGGGCCTCCTCCCGTTCCATACGTATTTTATCATTTCTTTTCTGAGTGTGTTAAAGAAGGGGCCTGGTATGACAGTGGGGATGGCCTGGAAGAGGTATAAGAGGCGCGGAAGGAAGTTCATTTTTATGACCTGCACTCTCCCGAGCCACGATATGTGCGGGTAGGACCATTCCCTCAAGTCTCGTTGGAACGTGTGTAGTATAGAGGCGAAGTTGTCCCTATACAGGTCTCTGCTCTGCTTGGTCAGCCATACCCCTAAGTATCTAATTTTTTGTTCGGCCCATTGAAAGGGGAAGCTGCGTCGTAGCGGGTCCGCGCGTGTGGCGGGGACGCTAACATTAAGGATGTAGGATTTGCCGTAGTTAATTTTAAGGTTAGATATAGCGCCAAATGTCCGCAGGTCTTTCTGGATGTTTGGGAGGGTGATCTCGGGGTTGGTCACCACGAAAAGTAAGTCATCCGCGTACGCCGCTACCTTGTGGTGTATTTGGCCTGTCGTCCGGCCCGTTATGTCTGGGTTGTGGCGGATGTGTGTGAGGAATGGTTCCAGGGCGAGAGCGAACAGTAGCGGCGAGAGGGGACATCCCTGTCGCGTGCCGTTGTGTATGGTAAAGGTCTCAGTCAGCGCCCCGTTAACTAATACCTGGGCCGTCGGTGCTCGGTATAGCGCCTCTATCCAGCGTCGAATGTGGGGACCCAGCCCCATGTGGGATAGCGTCTCGAAGAGGTAGTCCCAGCTCACTCTATCGAAGGCCTTCTCTGCGTCCGTGGACAACAAGAGGAGGCCTCCGTCCGTGCCTCCACCTCCGTGCATAAGTGTGAGCGCTCTGATGGTGTTGTCGCGTGCCTCGCGTCCTGTCACAAATCCCACCTGGTCGGGGTGGACCAGAGACGGGATATGTTTGGTGAGGCGCACCGCCAGGATCTTGGCTAGTAGCTTAATGTCGCAGTTGATTAGCGATATTGGTCTGTAATTCCCGCAATGCTCGTGAGTTATTTCTGATTTGTTATGGGCTCCTATCCCTGTGTATGGCTTTCCACAGTGCTTCATTGTGGCAGGTTAATTTTCTTAACCGTTTAGTGTCACTGAATAGATTAATTTTGACTCCATTGATACGATGTGCCAAAAATGTATCAGGGCTATGTTTGCAGCACATTCTGGCATCAAAACAGGTTAGACAAGCAGTCTCCTGAGCCTTAAGCAGCATCCTGCTTATTGTATAGTGTATAATTATGTCCTTGCTGAGTAAGGTATCCAGACTCCCAATGGTGTGCTATCTCTGTTCTCATAAAGCAATATAACAAGGTTACCATCCTTGTCTCTGTGACTGTCTGGCTCACCCCAATGATCTGATTTCATCCTGGGTGAAGTCATTCATTCTAGTGATTTCATACACAGGGCGTTCCAATGCCCATCCCCCACAAAACACATCTGAATCTTGAAAGGGTCAAATTCCTATATGCCAGCAGATGGAAAGAATATGAATAGCTGCGGGCTTCAAGGCCTGTATGTGAAGCATTGTGTCAAGATGCACATTATCTCTTAGAATATCAAATTTCTCAATGTTGATTGGAGACAGAGGCACGTGGTTGTGGTGTTGGTGCGACAATGCATTTTATGGTTACCCACGTAATAACTGCTTTGTAGACCTCTGTTGCTGCAAATCTCTCTCCTTACTTACTTTATTTCAGAAATAATATAATAATCACTTGTTTTTTTGTGTCCAATAAGGCAAGGTCTATATAGCTCAGTGCCTGGTAGTCAAGCAGAGAAGGTCTATTGACTTCTGCAATGCAAACCTGTCTTCTGCTCTCTCACTGCCCGTACTATGAACAACGGAACAGTCCAGGGTTTGACTTAACACCTACAGTGATTTATATAGCTTTGGCAGGGAAGCAAGAAAAGAACAAACAATGCTGTTTAAGGCACCAATGTATTTTTATTCAGTGCTAAACTAAGACAACTCACGTAGGGCTACCTGATCACTTGGAAACGTAACCATGTTTCAGATCGAATTTTTGCATCTGTATAATTATATTATTGTTTGTAGTTCATATTCACACTGGTTAATTGAATACCTATGGAATGTTTTATTGCTAAAATTTGTATTTTGGGGCACAAAATATGTTACTCATGTACTTGATTAGAAAAGACAAACATTGTACATTAACAGTACAAGTCTCTAGATTGTAAGCTTGTCTGTGCAGGGTTCTCATCTTGTTCCTGCAGAAATTTGTAATAATTTTGTCTCATTTGTTGTTAAATTCACTTTAATAATAGTGTAAAGAATAAGTTGACACTATATAAAAGTCAGTAAAAATAATAACAATAAATTAAACAAAGAATGCACACTAACCAATTTCTCATATTTTTTTTTTCTCTCTGTACTAACCTTCTTAGGTTCAAGATTATAATTATCGAAAGGTGGTTAAGAATATAATTCCCCATTTACAAATTCTGGATGATGTTCCAATTGACCAACTTAAGCCAGTCTCCCCTGTGACCCCCAATTATGATTGGCAGATGGTGACGGATGGCATTAAAGAGAATTTTGCAAGTCCTAGTGACACAAGATCAGGTGAGCAATATGAGGAAAACTATTCTGGCAAAAAAAAATTGTTTAAAAGGCACTCTGAGCACCAAAACCACTTCAGCTTAATTAAGTGGTTTTGGGGCATATATCATGCACTTGCGTTAAATCACTTTATTTCTCCAGTCCAAACTGCACCACCCCAGCTGTGACTTATATACCGTATTTATCGGCGTATAACACGCACCGGCGTATAACACGCACCTCATTTTAAGAGAGAAATTTCAGGGAAAAAAAACTTAAAGGACCACTATAGTGCCAGGAAAACATACTTGTTTTCCTGGCACTATAGTGCCCTGAGGGTGCCCCCACCCTCAGGGACCCCCTCCCGCCGGGCTTTGGAGAGAGGAAGGGGTTAAACACTTACCTTTCTCCAGCGCCGGGCGGGGAGCTGTACTCCTCCTCTCCTCCTTGCTCGCGACGTCATCGGCTGAATGCACACGCGCATTCAGCCGGTCGCATAGGAAAGCATTTACAATGCTTTCCTATGGACGCTTGCGTGCTCTCACTGTGATTTTCACAGTGAGAAGCACGCAAGCGCCTCTAGCGGCTGTCAATGAGACAGCCACTAGAGGCTCTGGAGGCTGGATTAACCCTCAGTATAAACATAGCAGTTTCTCTAAAACTGCTATGTTTATAAAAAAAAAAGGGTTAATCCTAGAGGGACCTGGCACCCAGACCACTTCATAAAGCTGAAGTGGTCTGGGTGCCTAGAGTGGTCCTTTAAATTTCAAATAAAGAACTTCTTTTCCCCTTCCCCCTCTTACCCCCCTTTCTTACTCCCCCTCTTCTTACCCCCCTTTCTTACTTCCCCCCTCCCCCTCTTCTTACCCCTCCCTCTTCTTACCCCCCCCCTTTCTTGCTCCCCCTCTTCTTACCCCCCCCTCCCCCTTTCTTACTCCCCCCTCTTCTTACCCCCCCTCCCCCCTTTCTTACTCCCCCCCTCTCCTTACCCCCTCCCCTCTTCTTCCTCCCTCCACCCCTTTCTTACTCCCCCCTCCCCCTCTCTTAATCCCCTCCTCCTTCTTACTCCCCCCTCCCCTCTATTTACCCCTTTCTTACCCCCTCCCCTGTAGCGTGGCCGAGCAGCTCTGCTGTCCGCGCGGTGGCCGGCGGAGTGATAGGAAGGTGCCGCTCAGTGTGCACCTTCTGAACAGGAGTTTCTGTTTCCTGTACCCGTCGGACTGACAGGAGGTGCACACTGAGCGTGCACTTCCTATCACTCGGCGGCCACCGCGACAGCAGAGCCTTCGGCCATACAGATGAGTACCAACTGCAGCCGCCTGAGCGCTCTTGACAGAGCGCTCAGGCGGCTGCAGTATTTAAAGGGCCGGCGTATAACACGCACCCACAATTTCTCCCCTATTTTCAGGGAGAAAAAGTGCGTGTTATACGCCGATAAATACGGTATCTTTACTACACACCTCCTCAAAAAAAATTTGAGTCTATTTTAGTATAGAGTGTGTTTAATTTAGATGTTATAAACTGACATTTTAATTATCTGCTAGTGCCAGCAAATAGTACAGCCTGCTTCTGTGTGAGTTTAAAGTTCTCTAAAATCCCTCTACAGGCCCCAAAAACACTCATAAAAACACTACAATCCATATGTAATGCGTTCATATGGGAACACAAAAAAACACGCATTGCAAGTACGATACTATATAAACATTCAAAACATGGTGGAGTGGGGCTACCCAATATAGATCTGTATTATAAATCGTCAGCCTTAGCAACAGGGATACTGCTACACACCACTGAAGGGATCATACAATAGGTGGACATGGAGAGAGCCCAATTCAGCAACAACTCGGCACTAGCACACTTGTGGACACCAAGAAAATTAAGGTCGTTAAAACCTGACCTCTTACCCACCACAAAACATACTATCCAATTCTGGACGACATTTTTGGAAAAGGTGGGGGATAAGAATAAATTCCATGCAGAGGCACCATTGACAGCCTTACGGGCTATTTCACCAGACATACGCTTACAAAAGTGGTCGCTGGCATGAATAACACACATACACCAACTGCTTCAATCTCAAAGAATGATGACATTCCCCGACATACAACACAAATGGGAGCTTCCCAATGATGCTATCTTTACATATTTACAACTTAAGGGAATCATCACCACACATGTAAGTAACCAACAATCAAACCCTACCCCAACGTCTCCACCAACAAAGGCAATAATAGAAAGGTGCTGGAAACACCCCACAAAACCAAAAACCATTTCCCTATGCTATAAAGCCTTGGAAGACACTACACCTAACACATCACCACATTGCAAAACATTGTGGGAAATAGACTGTGCCATTCAACTCACAGACGAAGAATGGATACATGTACTAAACGACCTATCTAAATGGACAAAATGCTATACACACATAGAAGCACATATAAAGCTACTATACAGATGGTACCTAACCCCACACAAACTTCACAAAATATACGCAAACTCAACCCCACTGTGTTGGAGATGTTCCGCAGAAGAAGGTACACTTATACATGTGGAGGTGCCCTAACATACAGCCTTTATGGACAGAGGTACACAATACGGTCCGTGCACTCCAAATCCCAGATACCCAAAAGACACCTGAAACATACTTACTGATGAGGTTCCCTCCGACACTCCGAAACTCGCACAAACAGCTGTGTGCCATTATTACTTTAGCGGCCCGTAGCCTACTAGCTCTCCACTGGAAATCCACAACTTGCCCAAGCAAAACCCAACTATGGGACAAAATACACCAATTCTACATCTATGAAAGAATGGCCATACCTGATACCAAAATGGCACAGAGGTTTAGCACAACATGGTCACCATGTACAACCAGCACATGATACGATAGAGCCATAACGGCAGGGACATCCATTAGCCCTTTATAATCATTATCAGTAACTATATGTGTGAACTAAGATAGCATAGGGACGCATACAAGTGCCCACCACCTGGTAAGCACAGGCAGGTCAGATGTTGGGCTGGCTATATGAGCAATGATTGTATAACCGACTATGTATACCGATCCATGTTACCTAACTGTACATGCTCCCAACCGCACCCCAACGTCAATGTTATACCTGTTTTTGTACTGCCTTTATGTACTACTTTCAAATGTATCACTGGTTCAAATTGACGAAAATTCAATAAAAAATATATTGAAAAGGAAAGTTCTCTAAAATCTTCAGGAATAGACAGGGCCGGACTGGGGATACAAAGCAGCCCTGGAAAAAAAGTCTATGCCAGCCCCATAAGTCATTGTGCTATGTAGTGTGGGTGTGTTTTTAAATAATATACAAATTATACATATATATAGTACATTGACGTTGTGGCAGACTTATGCAATTTATGATCATATAATGTAACTAAATCCCCATTATTTTTTGCCTAGATTAGGTGTTTTTAATAAAACTAGCAAAATCTGTCAGCACCAAAGTAGCTGTTTAGAAGATAAGGGAGTGCGCTGGATTTTGATATATATATTTATTAGTAGTATATTTCTATTTCTAATTCAAAATATTAGTCCTTTCAGAGTCATTGAATTATACAGGAAAGCATACTCACATGAAGACACAGAGAATCTTACTGACACAAGCTCATTGATACACAGGCTCAGAGACAATTTCATTGATATACATAAGCTCATTGACATAAAAACACATACTTACTGATGCACACAAATAGGCTCACTGACAGACAATCTGAATGACACACACAGACAAGGTTACTAGTGCACACACTCAAATTTAGTATAGAAAAACTCTGATACACACACAAGCTTACTACAGACAAGCTCACTGACGCGCACACACTCTCCCTACAGACAAGCCCATTGACACACACATGCTCCATATAGAAGAGCTCACTAACCCACAGATTCACTACAGACAAGCTCCCTGATACACACATGCTAACTAGAGACAAGCTCACTGACACACACTCTCCCTACAGACAAGCTCACTGACACACACATGCTAACTTGAGACAAGCTCACTGCACACACATGCTCACCACAGACAGGCTTACTGACACACACATGCTCCCTACAGACAAGCTCAGACACACTCATGCTCCCTACAGACAAGCTCACTAACACACAAGATCCCTACAGACAAGCTCACTGACACACATACAAGCTGACTCACAAGCAGACGCACAAGCCCACTCACTTGCAGGCACACACATACACAAGCTCATTAACTAGCAGGCATACACATACACACACAAATTCACTCACTAGCAGACAAACTCATTTACAAGCAGGCACACACACACAGAAGCTCCCTCACTAGCAGACTCACACACACAGAATCTCTCTTACTAGCACACACACACACACACACAGACACTCACAGAAGCTCACTCACTAGCAGACGCACACACACAGAAACTCACTCACTAGAAGGCACAGAAGCTCACTCACTAGCAGGCACACACACACAAATTCCCACACTAGCAGATGCACATATACACACAGAAGCTAACTCACTAGCAGATACACACACACACACACACACACACACAGAAGCTCACTCACTCACTAGCAGATGCACACACACACAAGCTCACTCACTCACTAGTAGATGCACACACACACGCAAAGTTTACCTGGCACTGGTAGGTGAAGGTGTCAATTTCTATTTCTAATTCAAAATATTAGTCCTTTCAGAGTAATTGAATTATACAGGAAAGCATACTCACATGAAGACACAGAGAATCTTACTGACACAAGCTCATTGATACACAGGCTCAGAGACAATTTCATTGATATACATAAGCTCATTGACATAAAAACACATACTTACTGATGCACACAAATAGGCTCACTGACAGACAATCTGAATGACACACACAGACAAGGTTACTAGTGCACACACTCAAATTTAGTATAGACAAACTCTGATACACACACAAGCTTACTACAGACAAGCTCACTGACGCGCACACACTCTCCCTACAGACAAGCCCATTGACACACACATGCTCCATATAGAAGAGCTCACTAACCCACAGATTCACTACAGACAAGCTCCCTGATACACACATGCTAACTAGAGACAAGCTCACTGACACACACTCTACCTACAGACAAGCTCACTGACACACACATGCTAACTTGAGACAAGCTCACTGCACACACATGCTCACCACAGACAGGCTTACTGACACACACATGCTCCCTACAGACAAGCTCAGACACACTCATGCTCCCTACAGACAAGCTCACTAACACACAAGATCCCTACAGACAAGCTCACTGACACACATACAAGCTGACTCACAAGCAGACGCACAAGCCCACTCACTTGCAGGCACACACATACACACACATACACAAGCTCATTAACTAGCAGGCGTATACATACACACACAAATTCACTCACTAGCAGACAAACTCATTTACAAGCAGGCACACACACACAGAAGCTCCCTCACTAGCAGACTCACACACACAGAATCTCTCTTACTAGCACACACACACACACACACACACACAGACACACACAGAAGCTCACTCACTAGCAGACGCACACACACAGAAACTCACTCACTAGAAGGCACAGAAGCTCACTCACTAGCAGGCACACACACACAAATTCCCACACTAGCAGATGCACATATACACACAGAAGCTAACTCACTAGCAGATGCACACACACACACACACACACAGAAGCTCACTCACTCACTAGCAGATGCACACACACACAAGCTCACTCACTCACTAGTAGATGCACACACACACGCAAAGTTTACCTGGCACTGGTAGGTGAAGGTGTAAATTTCTGGCTTTTTCATTCCAGTGAGGTCAGCAACTTCCGTCTGGTGGAGGGGCTTGTGTTCGGGAGGCATGGCTTAAGTGCAGGGACAGGGCATGTGGCCATAATTGCTGTACACTGTGCAGGGAGACTGACAGGTCTCCCTCCGGCCGCCAGCAGAGTAATTGCGGCCGCACCAGCCCCTAGCTCCTCCCTTATTACTCCCCTCGGACTGATACAGGCTGGCACAGTCCGAGGGGAAAATCATTTAAATGATATGTGCCTTATGATTATGGCTGTGTACCCGGCCCCAGGTGCCGCGGCCCACCAGGAAATTTCCCGGTATCCCGGTGGGCCAGTCTGGCCCTGATCTGAGAGACACATTTTAGGCACTATTCCAGCACAATGTCAGTCTTGTAAAATATCCAGTATTTAATGATATAGTTATAATTATAGCTTGCAATCTCAAGTCATATGCTACTAGCCAGGCTACTACTGCTACTAGCCAGGCTTCTACTGCAAGCCTGGGTGGTTCATGGTCTATTCACTAGTGCTGAATTTATACTCAGACGCTATATTTTCATTTGCCAATGGCTAGTGTTTTTTTGGTTTTATTTTTACTGGTATCTGTGGCGAACATAACCTCGCCATGGGCTCCTGGAGGAGCCTGCTTGACAGCCTCCTGCCTCAGGACTATGGGCCCTGCAAGATACACTGTAAAATACACTTTAAAAGGCTCTGTTCGTGTTATTTGGGATTTTATTGTTCGGGAACCGAACAACCGCACAAACCAGAGACCACCCGTGTGCTTGTTAAGCCCAATTGACACTTTGTAACGAGTTCCACTTCAGTGTTCTAATTGTTCGTCTGGGTGGCCGCAATTCGCATGAACGATCACGAGGTGGCGGCCATCTTGTTCACATGAACACAGGCAATGGTGTTTGGTCGTCGAGTTCATGGAACTGAAATCGGACACTGAAACTCCCGAACACAGCTGGACTTCCATAATCGCCTGCGTTCAGTTCTGTACAACTTAGAAGGGCACTGTTTGGTGGAATCGTTCCCACAAACAAGGTGAACAAGCTACATATGTTAACAATGGATTCTGTTCTGTATTTTATGCACCTTCATACTCCCGAAAGAGACTGACCGTTAGCACTAATTTCATGGAACTGTTTTGGGCATAGGACCATTTTGGTCGGTCAAATAATTGACTTCCATGGAAAAGCAGAACCACTGAACCAATCTGGGTGATTTTTGGATATGTTGGTCACCCAGTTCAGGGCTATCCGAGAATTTAACTTTTCTGGGGTTTTTAGCGTTTTTGGGGGTATCTTTGGGATGCTTATAAATTGTATGTTTTTTTGTACCGGAGAGATCATTTAATTATATGTTTGCTTCTCAGATAATTATCTCTCAGGCACAAAGGATCATGGGAGGGATTTGCCTGTATTCTTGTATTGGAAACCCCTTGCAGGTGCTTTTGCATAAAAGGCCATGTGTGGCCTCCAATAAACCAGAGGACTCCCAGCATTAAACCTTGGCTCATGTGTGTGGGGGGAACAGCTATACTGCTATATCACTTGCTCTTTTACTGGTTATACAGCGATACTCCCTTGCAGGAGAGGTCTTTCCACTGGGAGCTGGATCCAGGTGCTTGGTCCAGGGTGGGAAGGGACGGCAAGACCCCAGCCAAGCTGCAGCGGCTAAAGGGGCTAATGTGGTTATGGTGTCCGGTGCGGTGCTTATGGTACTCAGTGAGCACTAGGAAGCGTGATTGGCAGAGGTACCCAGTCGGGGTGCCAGGTGGTCTGCCACAGTATCTATTTTCATGTATGTTTTATAGCTCCTAAATGGGCTTACTGTGTCGACAATGCTTTTCTAGAAAGCATTTCATTGGACACAATGCAAAGCAAAACGGGGGTGAATTAGTTTAGCTGTAAAATGCGGTAGATGTAGGATGTTATGGACTTAAGAAAATAATTTTGAAAAATGAAAAAATATATATATTTTAACTTAAAGGGACACTCAAGACCCCTAAAGCACTTTACCTTGCTGAAAAGCATTTTGTGTGAAGAGAAGGTCCTCTTTTATTTATTATTTTGCAAAACGTGCAGATTTCAATAGAAATTAACACTTTAATGAATTTACCTGATTACACCTTCTGGCTTTCAAGGTCCTGTTACTTCCTGGTTTGTTTACTCAGTAGATTAAACTCAAGAGGCAGCAATTGCCCAGAGCACCTGCCTTGCAAAGACTTCTCATTGAGCTGCATTGGGAAGTCCGTGATTGGACAGCCACAGAACATGTGGGTGAGGTTAGAAGGGGAGGGCTTGCAAAGGCTACATACAAGAGAGCTGCAGCCATTGCAAGCTGTTTTTAGATATACCCCTAATAAAAAAAATTGCACGATTAAATGTATGCATGTTTTCATCTGGAGTGTGCCTAAAAAAGTGATTTTTATTTATTTATTTTGTATTTGGGCAGTGGCGTGTCCCTTTAAGCCAGCTTCACTATATATGTTGTGAAATGCTATTTATCTATATGTATTCAATCCTAATATGAAAATAATATCATCTCACATCTTATTTTCGCCTTTCCTCTCTGGACCAACCCCATCTTATAGAACATACCTTGCTATCAACATTGTGCTTCTTGCTTTACTGTTTTTGCCTGCATTTGGTTTATTTGTCTCCATTTCAGAAAACTGAAAACCAACTAAATTACCTTAGCAAATGATGAAGGTTTGTATTAACCTAGTTGGGCTTTGGCAAGTGGTACTGGACAGGTTAACTAATGCCCATTGTAATACAATGCTGTATTGCCACATTGACTCACAGATCACTTTTACTTTCTGGTACGAACACTGACAGAGTTATTTGTTAAACCATGATTTCTGGGGATTTCAAAGGTTCTTAAACTCAAATTTTGCAATTCCCTTTTCAATTCTAGTTTTAGTGGATAACCATGTCATTGTTTTTCTATGATTTCTGTTCCTATCATTGTGTCAATTAAGCTTACTGGATCTGGTTGTATCATTACATTACTGGCCACAAAAAACAGAGAATTTTAGAATGTCCCTGTATAATCACATCACCGTTATTGTTTATCATCTCGTTTTAAGGACATGATATTTCCTCGTGGAAGACAAGCATTAGACCCAGCACAGCACAGTTAAATGTTAGACCCAGCACCGCACAAACTGCCATTCATAGAAGGCCATACTCGGCACCAAGACCAACTAGTGCCGGCAGGCCGGTCACCAGCCACCAAAGAGCAGGAAGCAGTCCATTTAGTGAGCCCATCAAGGACAGTATAGTGGAGGATGAAGCTAGTGACCTAACACATGGTAATGTATATTTCCTTGTCTTCTTCTCTTTTTCCTTTCAGTTTATCTCCCACGTAGAGATTTTCTTAGTTTCTGTTGTTACATGTACATAAATATACACCCATTTAATTTTTATCTCTCCAGATTTCCTTTTTACACATCACAATTTAAATTAAAATGTATTTTGGATTTGTAGAATGGTAATTTGTTGCCTTGAGGAAGAGTAGGTAATCATCACATCATGATTTCAACATGGTACATGATGGTGCTCTGCTTGAGCAATTAGAGACACATATACAGACAGACCTGGCTTAAAAAACAGTGGTTTTTCCACACTTGTTGGAAATAAACCTTTCTTAGATGTTGGATTCCATCCCCGCTTTGCTTTTTGCAGATTGCTTAGTAAACTGTGATGACCAATTGCATTTAAGTGATTTAGCAAAATTGGTCCAGACACTCAGGAGTGATTCTCAAAGCAGATTTAATGGAGATTTGTGTATGATACAAGCAGCAATCCCTCCCCAATAAGGTATCCATATTGGTTAATGGATTTCAAAACACAGTTAGTCCATGGAGGAGAGATGCAGAATACAGTGATATCAGTGAATGGAAATATTAGATGAGACAGCACAGGACATTTAATTTTAGTGAATCTTGTTCAAAACTAGATTTTCATGCTCACTTCTTTACTTTTTTTCCAAATACAGGACTGACTTGTTGGGGTTTTTTTTACCCAGGTTTCGGCCACAGGCGACCAATGTGATGCTTGTTTGTCCTCTATAATTGTGCTTTAAAAACGTCTTTAAAGAAATACTCCAAGCACCATAACAACTAGCACCATCCCAGCATAAGTAATCACACTCTTTGTGAATAGTTTGACAACTTTTAACTAGGGCTCACCGGGCGCGTGCTGCCACCTCCTTTGAGCCTAGAAAGCTTTGCACCTCAGCCAACAAAACCAGCCCTGCTCAGCGGAGCTAGCTGAAGTTCCTGTAAGGGGGCTCTTGAGGAGGAAGTGGCAGGTGCCCAGTGGACACCAGGTAAGTTGTCAAACTGTTCCTAAATGGTTTGACTATTTACCCTGGGAGGGCACCAGGTTTACGCCTAGCACCATAATCACTACAGTGGGGTTCTTTACACAGCATTATCACTTTTTAAGCACAAATATGTCAGGACTGGTACAATAAAAGGTGCCACAATTATCCTTTGTTATTAAAAGGTTAACATGATGAGAGTAGGGATGGTAATTTAAAAAGTTGTCTTTTCAATAAAGGAATTTCTAATATTTAAATGATTTTAGAGACTTTTAAACTTGACAACCAGTATATTATTCATGTTGCCCTGAAATATTTTATCTGTTCAAATAGGAGTTGGAAGAGTCATATGTGGAAATCCCATCAAAGCTCTACGGGCACGAAAGGAAAAGTTGGGGGTAAGAGACCTAATCTCATAATGTGTTTTTTTTTTTTAATGAATACATAGTATAATTATTACAAAATCAGTAAAAAGGATCACTGACATCCACATGAATACTAGCAGATTTGGTGACTCACTAAACAGCAACACAAATGCCGCTATCTTATACCAACTATTGTTTCAATATTTTCAGAAACCACACTATACTCTCCCACTGCTCTAAATTTGGAAATACAATAAAGCAGCTCCCTCTGCCATCACATCTCTATGAGTGCAATGGAACGAGGATTGTTTGCAGGATATGAGAGGGTTTAATCAAATGCCTAAATCCAGCTCTTAACATTACACATCCCTCTATGCCAGACAGAATAGGTTAAAGCATCGTTGATTTTTGAGTGCCTTCCTCACTTTATACAGACAAGTTCAATCCTTCACAAATCCTTAATTACAGTTCCGAGTTAGTATTTTTGAATCTGTTTTTCAAATGAATATTATTTTTGGATATTTTTTTTTAATGACTTCTTCAAAATATTAAAATATCAACAAAAATATATATCATATATAAATAAAAAATCAATGTATCAAAATTAAATATTCAAATATGTTTCAAAATATTAAATCATTTTAACAAAATGCAACCTCTTTGGCCTTTTCAGAAATAGGTAATTGTCTGTCGTTATCATAATGTTTTTGTCTGCATAGGAGAGGTGCAATAGGCCATAACTTACTTTATTTTTCTTACCTTGTAAATTTTTAATCCGTAGCCCACCACTGCCATCCCTCTCCAGCAACCGGGATACAAATCGGAGCACACATATCATGCTGAAGCAACATCAGACAGTAATCGTGATGATGTGTTGGCCGAGCTGAGAGCCTGGCGAGAGAAGCACCGTATGTAAGGAATTATGAGAAAACACAGCCTTTTATCTAGTTCAATGACAGACAGATTCTGCCATTCTAGAAACTTTAGCGTGAACCCGAGCTATGGTACAACTACAAATCTAAACAACTAACGCTGGTAAAGTGTCATGCAAATAATAGCTCTTAAACAGCGGTGGATCTACCTTTTGGTCACTCTTAAAGCTTCCATTATACATTGTCAGCTGAGAATTCTGGGATATGTAGTTCACAGTATGTGGAATGAAAATATATATGGAATGGTCTACTGTGCCTGTAGATTTTCTGGAATGCTTTCGGGTTTATAATCATGTTAAAGATGCCATACGAGGGTCAATCACACTGAGCTGTACCTCCAAACTCTTGTGTATACTGAAAATTCTGTGAACTTTAACTCCCATCACTCTGGGAGTTTCAGAATACACAGCTACATGAATGCTTGTACCTTGTAACCCCTAACCTTTATGGACAGTGTTGGACATTCTTAGTGGGAGATACAGCTCACAACATCTTGAATGCGGGTGTAATGGCACTGTTATAAATACTGCTTTAATGGCGAGCAATATATTCACACAGTTTTAATTGAGATGTTTTTAGTATGTACAGCAAAGTTCAGTGTTGACAATCTAGAGGTTGTGTCCATATGTCTCAACTTGGTGGCCTTTACCTTTCTCTTTCTCAGCCAGTTACAGAAGATTCAGGAGGAAGGTGCACCACAGATACTGAAGATTAGTTATAGCGATGAAGAGGAAGAAGATTGTTCCAGCAGTGATGACGCTGAGGATTCTGAAGAACTAAAGGAGTCCTGGGATTTGACATGTCTTGTTAGGGTGACTCCAGATATATCAAGCCCCTCTCCACAGTCCCCTACAGGTGAAATTTGTTGCAAAATGAAAGCTGAAAAAGTTTGTAAAGCTGTTTCTTGTTGTAACTTTAAATGGACTCTATAGTCACCAAAACAACTTTAGCTAAATGAAGTCGTTTTAGTGTATAGATCATGCCTCTGAAGTTTCACTGCTCAATTCGTTGCCAGTTAGGAGTTACATCACTTTGCTTCTGTTTATGTAGTCCTAGCCACACCTCCTCTGGCTGTGACTGACACAGCCTGCATTAAAAAAAAAGTTTAACCCCTTCACGACCGAGGACGGTTCAGGACCGTCATCGGCATTTTTGCGTTGCCGACTGATGACGGTCCTGAACCGTCCTAACGGTCTTAGTTACTTACCTGATCGCCGTCGTTCCCCCGGCGGCGATCAGCGTGGCGATCAGCGTGGCGATCAGCGTGGCAATCAGCGTGGCTCCCGGTGTGGGGAGACTGCCTGCAGCCCAGACAGTCTCCCCACACTGAATTAGGACCCCTGGGGCCATGTGATCGCTCAACAGAGCGATCACATGGTCACAATAGGTGTCCTAGTGTCTGCCTGCAGGGGGACTGTCTGTGCTTACAGGCAGTCTCCCTGCAAGTGTAAAATCAAAAATAAAGTTAGTGTTAATAAAAAATAAAAAAAATTATATATGTGTATATATGATATATAGACATATATTATATATATATATATATATAATATATGTCTATATATCATATATATAATGCCATACTAAGTGTATTTTTATATTAATATGTACTTATATTAATATAAAAATACACTTATAATTAAATTACACACGTATATATATAATATATATAAGAACTATATATATTGTATATATATATATATTATTATAAAATATAAATAAGTAATTTAAATTAAATAATTTTTTTTAAATAATAATAAAAATTAAAAAATATATATATAAATATTCTAACTGTATGAAATTTTATTCTAACTGTATTTTAAAATTAATATATATATATTTATATCAAAATACACTTAGAATGAATTTGTATATATATCTATGTATATATAAATAAATAAAAATAATACGAAATATACATATGTCCATATACAAAATTACATAAATAATTATATAAATATACACGTAGACTTCAAATATATAAATATGCATATATATTTAAATTCTACGTGCGTATTTATGTAATATTTTTACATAATTCAGTAATTTTATTGATTGCAATTTGAGGGACCTGCCTGCCAACCCAGGCCGAAATTCCAGAGAATTTAATTTGCTAGCACTGTATTTTACCCTGTAACGTTCTACGACACCCTAAAACCTGTACATGGGGGGTACTGTTTTACTCGGGAGACTTCGCTGAACACAAATATTAGTGATTCAAAACAGTAAAACATATCACAGCGATGATATTGTCAGTGAAAGTGACTTTTTTTGCATTTTTCACACACAAACAGCACTTTTACTGATGATATAATTGTTGTGATACGTTTTCCAGTTTTTAAACACTAATATTTGTGTTCAGCGATGTATCCAGTAAATACCATGTTATTTTATGAGCACAGAAAGTTACAAGGTCAAATATATGGGTCAAATATTTTACATTGAAAATGGCCAGGTTGGTTACGTTGCCTTTGAGAGCGTATGGTAGCCCAGGAATGAGAATTACCCCCATGATGGCATACCATTTGCAAAAGAAGACAACCCAAGGTATTGCAAATGGGGTATGTCCAGTCTTTTTTAGTAACCACTTGGTCACAAACACTGGCCAAAATTAGCGTTCAATTTAGTTTTTTTACTTTTTTCACACACAAACAAATATGAATGCTTACTTTGGCCAGTGTTTTCGACTAAGTGGCTACTAAAAAAGACTGGACATACCCCATATTGAATACCCTGGGTTGTCTACTTTAAAAAAAATATGTACATGTGGGGTGTTATTCAGAGATTTATGACAGATAATAGTGTTACAATGTCACTATTGATAAATTTTAAAAATGTATGTTTTGAAACCGCAATATCCTACTTGTACCTATAGCCTTATAACATGCAAAAAAAGCAAAAAAGCATGTAAACACTGGGTATTTTTAAACTCAGGACAAAATTTTGAATCTATTTAGCAGTTTTTTTCATTCTCTTTTGTAGATGAGTAAAAGATTTTTCAAGTAAAAGTAAAAAAACATGTTTTTTTCAATTTTTTATCATATTTTTTTTAAATTAAAATACATGAGATTATATAAATAATGGTATGTAAAGAAAGCCCCTTTTGTCCTGAAAAAAACAATATATAATTTGTATGGGAACAGTAAATGAGAAAGCGGAAAATTACAGCCAAACACCACAAAAGTGTAAAAATATGCCTGGTCGCAAATGTACAACATCGCAAAAACAGTCCAGTCCTTAAGGGGTTAATTAAAAAATAACTAAACATGTTTTTTCCTGCTCTGTAAATTGACGTTTAATTACATACAATAGGCTCATGTTTATTTTTTCATCTATACATTTGCTGGTTAGCTCAATATTTAAATGATATTTGACCTTAAAGGGACACTATAGTCACCAGCTTCAATTACAGCTTATTTAATTTGTTCTGGTGAGTAGAATCACTACCTTCAGGCTTTTTGCTGTAAACACTGTCTTTTCAGAGAAAATGCAGTGTTTATATTACAGCCTAGTGATAACTTCACTGGCCACTCCTCAGATGGCTATTAGAGATCCTTCCTGGGTCATGGCTGCCTAAAATGAATCCAAACATTCAGTATCTCCTCCCTCTGCATGCAGACACTGAACTTTCCTCATAGAAATTCATTGATTCAATTCATCTCTATGAGGAGATGCTGATTGGTCAGGGCTGTGTTTGAATCATGCTGGCTCTGTCCCTGATCTGCCTCCTTGTCAGTCTCAGCCAATCCTATGGGGAAGCATTGTGATTGGATCAGGCTACCACTTCTGATGATGTCAGCAGACTGCTTGTTTTTCTGCATGCAGATTTACAGCTTCAGGCTTGATTACAGGAAGATTTTTCTATATATATGGAGGCATGAGGGGCCCGGGGGTGCTAGATAGTGGTTTTAACACTATAGGGTCCGGAATACATGTTTGTGTTCCTGACCCTAAAGTGACCCTTTAACTGAAGGTAACTGAAGATAAACTTGACATCCTTTAATCACTTGCTCTAAAAGATATCTGAAAGGTGGCTATTAGTTTTTTAGATAAGCATGTTTTTAATGTTTATGTGTGTCAGTTGCATTGTTGTCATGGGATAGGGTGTCATTCAGAGCACACGACTAAAAGCTGTTTCACCCTGTTAAATAATGCTGAAAAGTTTTTTTTCAGCTTGAATGGACTTAACCAACAAAACATATATTTTTTGAAAGCAAGCATGAAATACACATTTTCTAAGAATATCTTAAATAATTTGTTACATCAGCTAAAATAATATTTATATCCTTTACTAATTTTAACTCTAAAATCTTAGGTGTTGTGCAAGCAGGAGCCATGTATCCTGGAGAAATATCAGATGCCAAGTACAAGCCATCTCCTCCAATTTCCCCGTGCCCACCTTCTTCAGGAATGGGTCATCAGAAACCCAACAAGGGTTCAGATTTAAGAGCGAGACGAATGCTGAGAGAAACCAACCAGAGTGGGAGCAGATCACCTCGGCAGACTGTTTTAGATTCAAGTGTTGGAGATGAAGTCTTTTCCCTGATGGAGGTTGAAGGCAACAACTCTACGGTTCCTTATGCTCTTCAGCTGAATGATGATAGGAGTAGTGATCTGGGTATAAGGCCTTTTTCTGGATCTGCACAAACCAGTTCAAGTAGTTCAAGGTATTTATCCTGGTGTAATGCAAATTTAAAAAATGGTGTGACGGTGTAAATGGTATAATGCAAATAAAAAATAAAAGTAAAACTTAATTGGTACTGATGACAAACTAGGTTCACTAGTGATAATAATATTATTTTCAAAACATTAGTGACAAACTTCTTGGGATAATAACTCTTCCATTGTGAAATTACAAAGCAATATATATATATATATATATATATATATATATATATAAATATTGTGTTTTCTCTGTCATCTATCAAATTAGATTTCTTTTAGTTCTCATTGTCTACTATCTCACAAAAGGAAATGCTGTATTTTTGTAACTTTGGACCACTCTTTGCTCAATAGCAATGCCAAACGTTTAGGATATAAACTTGACTATTCTTCTACACTCTGATTTGGACATTGAGCTTAATTTTGGCTTTATTTTTCAGGCCATCACTAGACAGATATTCTCCTAAACAGATTCACTTTCATCAGCCTGTTATTCGCTCTTCCATGAAAACACCATCTCCACCCCAAATCACTCGATCAATTGCAGCCAAGGAGATCCTACACAGGTTGCCAAATCGACCTACTCTTCTCTTAGGAAATAAGGGTTCTAGCAGCTAAATAACGGACCTCCATAGCAAGTCATTGTGTCCTACTCATTATGGTGAGGTGACTGTAAAACATAAAAGCACTTTACCACATGACTATCGTCTTGTAGAGGAAGAAGAGAAATTCTTGTGTTGCCCACTAGAAAACAATCTTGGCATATCCAAGATTCTTAATGATTGTTCTACCATGAAATATTGTCCATGAACAGTGCATTTCAATGCTGTTAAAAGCAAACAGTTGTCCATTTATTCTGGCATCTATATTTGTTATTTTTGTACATAGTCCTTAAAGTGGATCTGTCACTTTGCAGGATTTGATTTTGAACAAATCCTTCTGGTCCCTTTATTCCATTTGTTGTCATTTTTTTTAAAATTACATTAGTTTTTTAGTTACACATAATAAAAAGTAGGAACTACCTTTTCTAATGGGAAGTGTGATCTTTGGCAATGTGTGGCGCTTAAGAAAAGTAACATTTTAGTTTCTAAGCTAATTTACCCACAATCCATAAGTTAAAAGGATCCCATAGAAGGGCAAAATGCAGACATTATGGACAAAGGAAAACAAAATGGAGGCACCCAAGTACTTAGATCTGGCACAAAGAAGATGTCTTCGTTTACAGGATATGGGAAACTCACAAATAAAGGGTCAAAAATAGATGTATTACTAGACGTATTACTAGGCGTTAGAGTGGCTGGACTTAACGTTATTTAAGATAGACAAAACCAGAAATAGACATGGTCAAGATTATAGAAATAGAGATATACGAATAAACAATCTGGGTTAGGATTCCAGAAACACTCAAAGTTAATATGCAAGTCAAGGTCAATATCACTGAATGCATTATACAGCTAACAAGGTAGAAAAGAAACCACAGCACTGAATAAGGGCCCAAACAAGCATTATATAGGCTTGCATACCTACTGATTGGTCCACTTGAAGATCGGATGTGCCGTGTCACAAATTCATTATATATAAAGATGCGCCATTACATGCAAATGAGCTGTGCATTCGGCCCGCATGAACAGGGAGGAGGAGCAGTTCGCCGTTGCCGAATGAGTGAGTGCATTATTGTTCTCTTCAATAATGTCTCAAACCCATGGCCAAGCCGATCATTCGGCCAGTACGACCTGTGGAGCGAATTGGTTCAACATCGTCGAACAGGTAAGTATTGTGATAGAAGAAAAGATAATAAATATAAATAAAGGCAACGGTTAGGAGAGTATAATCATTAAGATGCAAGGGGCAGAAAAAAAAACTAAAAGAAAAACCATAACCATTGCAATCATTTCCGATTAAGAATCACAGTAAACATTTATATTCACTAAATTGAATTTAAATATGGCCAAACTGGAAGCATTCTCTAAGCCAACTTTGGCCCCAAATTTGAAATTCACTTCAAATTCTCTTTGAATTCTCACTTTAGTGATAACCAGGTTATTTCCACGCTTCCATGGGTTTTACATGCCATTTGCTTAGGTCTATTTTGTTTTTATAACTGGCCTATCCAAAGGCAGTGCTAGGAAGGACAATTAAGTTGTTTTAGAATTATATATTTTATATTTCAAAGGAATTCTGTAACCAGGCATCCATTCTTATTTGGTACACTTAGTATTCACAAGAAAACGAATAGCCAAAACAGCTAAGGAGAAAAATGGATCTCAAAGACACAGAATAGACCTTAGGTTTTGCAACTTGAATGTTATATAGTCACCCCTCAGTTTCTAGGTTTCTAGGAGTAAGCACCTAATCAATGGTGGCCCTAAGAATCCCAGATATAATTTCATTTAGAACTTTATGGGATGCCAAGGTAAACCATAACTGATTTATGTGACATATAAACATTAATTCCATATTAGATTTTACAATCAAAAAGGACTAGTATCATAAGGAATTGGTTTCATCCAATTATTTTATAAAGGCACTATTTTTTTCTGCGTTGTATATTATTTCTAAAGGTTTTATGTCATTTGATCACTGTCATTTGAATTTTGTTCAAAAATAATCAAAGGCAGTTTCATCATTTGCAAAATTATTTCAATGTGATCACGGTCATTTATATTGATGTCATATTTATTACGGATAGGATGTGGACAATTTTAATTGCTCTCAAAACATTTAAAGGGAAACTCCAGGCACCCAGACCACTTCTGCCCATTGGAGTGGTCTGGGTGCCAACTCCCACTACCCTTAACCCTGCAACTGTAAATATTGCAGTTTTCATAAACTGCAATATTTACCTTGCAGGGTTAACTCCTCCTCTAGTGGCTGTCTAGACAGCCACTAGAGGGCACGTCCGGGTTCCTAGCACAGATTTTCTGTGTTATAGCGTCGCTGGACATCCTCACGCTATGTGAGGACCTCCAGCGTCGCTAAAATCCCCATAGGGAAGCACTGAAATCATTTTTCAATGCTTTCCTATGGGAAGGTCTAATGCGCGTGTGCTGCATTGCCGCGCGTGCGCTGCATTGCCGCGCATGCGCATTAGGTCTCACCCCGCCGGTGGCCGCACATGCGCAATCAGTCTCCCCGCCGGATGACATCGGCGAGGGAGGAGCGTGGGTGGACCCTGGACCAGTGCCGATGGACATCGGCGATGGACTCCGGTAAGTCACTGAAGGGGTTTAAACCCCTTCAGCAACCTGGGATGGGGGGTGGGAGGGAGAGTGGACCCGCAGTGCCAGGAAAACGGTTTGTTTTCCTGGCACTGGAGTGTCCCTTTAAGTAAATATAACAGATGATTCTTGTGTCCTCTTGAGCTGAAGTGCCAGTGTTAGCTGCTTGCTTTCCTGCCTGAACTAAATGCTATTTTCATAGCTGCTTATAAGGATACTACAGGCATCAAAACTGCTTGAGCTTAATGAAGCAGTTTTGGTGCACAGATCGTGCTTCTGCAGTCTCACTGCTCAATCCTCTGCCATTTAGGAGTTAAATCACTTTGTTCATACAGCTTTAGTCATGTCATTTAAAGTTGTTTTGGTGCCTTTAGTGTCCCTTAAGTGATACTTGCAAATCATTCGAAGATCAACAGTGCAGGCATGAATTGCTATAGTCTGTTTCATAATTGTGTTTTTGTTTTGCTTTTGTATGTGGTTTTGTTTTGTTTGTGGGTTTATTTTTTTAAGTGGTTTTTAATGATAGATTTATAGTTTATTGTGACTCAAAAGACACAAGAAATTGCTTGCATCAGAGAGGAATTCATAAATAATATAGCTAATTGGAAGTGCATGTGTTATGTGCTGGCTAGTGTGAATACATTTCGTAAAAGTCTTCTTAAATCTGATTGTTATTTTCCAAAATCAGTTGTGATAGCAGAAAAAATGTACAATGCATGATTTCAAAGAAAACTGCAAACTGCATTGTATAGTTGTATTTATCTGTTAGAAGTTTGTTTAACTATATAGAACAAAGAAAAAAATATAAACAGAAAAATACTTATTTGCATATCAATAATTTTACCCTCATTAAAAATACGCCAAATATTGCCTTCTGGGGTCTTTGCATAAGACCGCCGATGGCGTCTTTGCCGCCATCTACTACCTGAGGATCATCTTTAGCTCCTCACGCTTTATCTCCCAGGAACCCACATTAATACTATACTCTCGCTTATGAGTTTATTGGCTATAGAGGACCCTACAAGGCCATGGGAGCTAACACAGTCAATGCCTTTTTCTCCCCAGCCATCACAAGTGATGGCCAGGGCGGATTTGCCATAAGGCTGCCAAAGCCATGGCCTCAGGGCGGCAGGCTGGACAGTGGTTGTCAGTGGTGTTGCTCAACCAGGCTTGAACCAAGATTTGGCTGTTGAAAAGCCCCGGGTCAACGGTGAGGAGACACAGACTGGGGAAGATCAGAGCTAGAATTGCAAATTTCTGTTTAAGTGTATGGTTCTGACTGAGTGTGACACAGGGCAGAGGGTGTAATGAGAGACAAAAATGATGGGGGGAGAAGGGCGAAAAGACTAGTGAGAACAGGAATGGGTGAGGCAGAGAGATATGTGTGGGGAGACAAGGGGAGAGTAATGGAGTGAGATATAACTGAGGACTAATGGTAAACAGCTATCACAATCACATTGAGGAAACCCCCATTCATCACAAACAGCCAGCCACATATACAACACAAGCCACTCTCACAACTCTCAGCCAACCAGACACACAACATACACACATATCACACAGAACCACATTTAGCCTGTGATATATTCTTGTACTTTGTACTTAGCTGAGTTCCCTTGGTATGAAGCTCTGTGATATACGTAAACACCGAAGAGCTCCACACATAACTGTGGACATGACTCTGGATTTTATTGCTTGGGAGCTCTGTGATACACACAAAAAGACACTACACTTTACTGTCGGGGTTATTTACTAAAGTGAGAATTTAAAGTTAATTTCACATTTAAGGCCAAAGTAGCCGAACTAGAAATAAAGAGATTTTCCAGTTTGGCATTTTTTTTTTTTTTACCTTGAATTCTCACTTTAGTGAAAAACCCTGTGGGTTTCAATGCTGGTGAGCTCTGTGATACTCATACACACCATACTTTACTGTTGAGTGTTAAGTGATTTTTAAATATGGTAGACAGGATTCTGTTTCAATTCCACTTTTCCACGTTGCCCATGTAGAATTATCCTGAGCTTATCTTCAATGATAAGCAAATACTATACATATATAGGGAGGAGGGAAATGGCCTTGGGGCAGCATAGAGGGTAAATACGGGCCTGGTGATGATAGGGGGAAATGACAAATGTAGCTCCATATTTTGTAAAGTTTTGTCAGGCGTAGGAAAAATACATAAGGTGAAGTAGACCCCACTTTTCATTATGTATTTTAGGAGAAAAGAAAGAAAAAGATACTTTATTCTATATATCAGGTAAAGATATTTTAAAGGGACACTGTAGTCACCAGAACAACTACAGCTTATTGCATTTGTTCTGGTGAGTAGAATCATTACCTTCTGGCTTTTTTCTGTAAACACTCTCTTTTCAGAGAAAATGCAGTGTTTACATTACAGCCTAGTGATAATTTCACTGGCCACTCCTAAGATGTCTGCTAAAGCTGCTTCCTTACTGGTACACATTGCTTCCCCACAGGACTGACTAAGACTACATGCAGTGGGTGGAGACACTGAATGGCAGTGCTGCTTACTATGCTAATACCGGCAAGCACTGAAACACTAGGGGACACTGTGAGACATGGGGACGCTGTGAGACATAGGGACATTGGGAGACACACTGGAACACGGAGACACTAGGGACACAGTGTCCCCTAGTCTCCCATGTCTCTGTGTCCCTAGTGTCTTAGTGTTCCCAAATGTCTCAGTGTCCCCATTTCTCCCAGTGTCCCCATTGACTTCCTGCTTCACTGGACACTGCTGTTAGGGGGTATGGATTTACTTGAAAGATGAAAGCATAAATTAGAGAGAGATTAGCATAGAGTATATGTTTTCTTATAGCTGCATCCTTTGAGTTTCCCTCCAACACCATCTCTATCAGATACATGACGCTATACAGGTATGACTGTTTTAGTGTTTTTGGTCGATAAGATTCTTGTCACGACTGCTAGTGTGGTCCAGCACGCAGAAGTATGTAACATCTACATAGACAGAACAGAAAATGATAGAAGGTAAACCGGTCCTTAGAATGGCCGGACTAATATGTTAAAAATAGAGAATGGTCAAGGAAATATACAATACCGTTTAACAAGCCAAGTCAGGGAAACCAGAAATCAGAATAGTAAGGAATATCCAAGGTCAAAATACCTGGAATATCAAAAACAGGACAAGAAAACGCACTCTCAGGAGCCAGGTACGGAAACAACGACAGGGCAATAACCTAGGGAACTTAAGGGATTTAAATATCACTCCTTTGGCTGTGATTGGTCAGAGGGTGGCCTCTGACCCCAGAACGTACGTGCTTGTGTGACGACGTTGTGACGTCACGCATGTTTGTGTGACCCTAGGGGGCGGAGCTATATCTGGCCAAGACCGTGTGGTCGGTGCCATATTGAATCTGGGCAGGCAGCCAGGAGAAGCCGGCAGACCGGCTCCCGACTCACCGCTGAGCAGGTAAGTTCAGTTTGTCAGCGCAGTTGCACCGGTTGGGTGCGACTGCACCTCGCGGCGTGCCGTGACAATGCTGTAATTAGGCCCCATCATAATGGTCAGCACCAGGCCCACTGGGCTCTTAATCTGGCCCTACAGCAGGCAGTTTCACAGGCAAACAGGGGACTTGAATAAAGTACGATTTTACTATATTTAGGGAGGCAAGAAGGGACTAGAGGGGTTTGATGGTGGTTTTAACACTATAGGGTCAGAAATATATGTTTGTGTTCCTGACCCTATACTGCTCCTTTAAAGGTGTTTGAATCAGAGTATTTTAAGACGCTAAGGATCTTAAGGGTATGACGAAGAACTTTAAAAACTGGCTTCATTATTTTAAGGATAATTTTACCTTTAGATGGTAAAAAGTGGGCAAAGTAGAAGAAATCTTAAGAAAATAGTAGAGGGAAGAAGTTTTGGATATTTGATAAACCAAAAACAAATAAAAGTGTCAGCATTTAGCAAAATGATTTTACTGTGCTAGGATCGCACAATATAGAAACATAGAATGTGACAACAGAAAAGAACCATTCGACCCATCTAGTCTGCCCAATCCCTATTTACAGAAGTTTATTGATGCTGTAAAAGCCCAACATCGAAACTGATAGCCTGTAGTTTTCATTCATCGGTATCCTGATACTATATCTTTCATTTGTTGTCCGTTTCAACTAAAAATGTAAAATGTATCTTCATTATTTTTCTGAAGATCAGTTTGTCATTGTATGATAACTGCATTATTTTATTGTAATGTTTACCAAATGAATACCGTGGTTTGTTAGAATACGATCTATAAGTGCTATGTGCCCATCTCTCACCATTTAGTGTGAAGTGATTTGCTACTAGCTGCTTTGTATTTTTTATGTGTCAACCTTTCTATTATATATTCTGTATTTTTTTTTCTGTCAGTTGCCTCATGAGACGAAACAGCAACTTTAGCTGTATGACAATCATATTTTTGCACCTCTAGATTTATTATGTAAAAATGTAAAGCTTGAAATTTTTGTAATTTATTGATTTAATAAAAATGAAAAACAAAATCTTGGAAATAGTTTATTTCACGAGTATTTGGCACAGATGTTTGTTCATTATGAGGAAGTGGATGGCATAAATAACATAATCACGAACAGTATCTGGAAAACATAAAATGTGAGAAGATATGTACTTAAAATTTCATACATGCTAACATTGAAGTGCTGAAGCGCTGTCTGCATGGTAATAGTGTAATGCTGTGCATGCACTGTACTACCTGTAGTCAGTTTCCTGATGTCCGGATGCTGGACACCAGGGAACAATATTGTGGGACAGGACCTCTCCAGGAATGTTGGAAAGTCAGTAATATGGGTCTGCTTTTCTGATATACTTGGTATATATATATATATGGATTGATTGTCGCAAACCAGTATATACTACACCATCAGGAGAATAACTAGGTACATTTTGATATGTCACATTTAACTAACTAATCCTGAAGGCAGGGGAGGGCTGGCAATTTGCACATTTTGTTTGTTCTCCCAAAAAAATGCCAGCCCTCCCCTGCTTACAGGGTTAGTAAGTTAAATGTGATATCAGAATTCTTGAGTAGAGGTTCAACTCAAGGGGTGCACATCGTGTATAGGTTTCACACATGGATGTTGTTAGAGTCATAATTTATCCTTGTAACCTTCATCGGTATGGCTTGCACAGCTTAATGGACCAGTCTCAGAGAATTGTACAGAATTGTACATGCAGACATTGCCTCTAATGACAACCTGTGAGTGTGTGATCACCTTACAGCTGTTTGTAAACACATTTATAACATACAAATCACATCTCAACTTTACCTTCACATTGGGAAGGGGCACATTTTTATCAACTGGTATGACACAGGAGAAATAAGCTGAGATATCTAGGGACAAGCTGTCATATTGTTATAAACCTAGCTCGATAGGGCATGTTTATTCAAATGAAAAGCAGAAGATCATCATGTCTGGATGTGGCATCTAGTGGAAGGTTCAAAGATAGTAAAGTGTAGTTGATATAGTTACTTGTCAGCGTGCACTTGGATATCTATGACTGAGAAGGAGCATAGTATGTCACTGCACATGAATGGGAGAAGTCTGAATGTATTTATAGGCGAGAAATAGAGGCCACCATGTGGTTACAAATACAAGAGGTCACAAGTAAAAGGAATGTGACTGAGAAACTTAAAGCCATGCTTGGAACGAGCCGACGACTGCGTAACAAGTCGTACTAATGGGCTGTTTTGGTTCAATCTGGTCTGGGGGGAAAAAAAAGAGAATTTAATCAGTTGGTTTTTAGTGGACATATGTATAATACCTTGATTGTATATCATTTTTAAAAAATTGATTATTAAATATATAATGTTTAGTCATTTAGTGTTCTGTGGAGGTTGATCTAGAAAAATATTATTCTGATAAACCAAACATTTAATCCTAATGAAACAGTCAATTAAACAAGATTATTGTATAAATTTATATCTATTACTGATTGTAAACATTGTATTATCCAATGGGTTTCTTAATCTCTTTCTAATAAAATGCCCCTAGTAAAAGACATTCTTCTGGAAAACACCCCAAATGTTCACCTCTCATTCGATAATTACCTCTAGTATCAATGTTTCTTATCGTATACCATTAAAGGTCGAAATAAGAATGTGCCCTCCATTGGAATCGGATCTAGTGGTCAAGTACGGAACAACTGGACTATATGATATACATAAACCATTGATTGTTACTACTTACTGGGTAAATGGTAATAGAAGTTGATGATGAATGTCTATGCGTCGAGCCTAAGGGGGATAAAAATAAACATATCATATCTACATATGAAATAAATTTTTACCTTGTCAATGGATATTGAACAATGTGTATCTTATTGGCCCAACAATTAATTGCTCATTCTAACAGATAAGAAAAGGAAAACACATTTTAAAAGCTTTTCTTCAATTTTTTTCAACGACAGATTACAACTTTTGACATTTTTGAGCCTAACATTAAATACCATCATGTATAATTTGTACGGCTAAAGAAGCAAATTCAATTGCCCTATTGATTTTTGGGGGAATTTATAGCCTCTAACAAAAGAAGCAGAGAAGACAGTGCTTTTGTCTTTTTTGTTGTTGTAGGAATAACTATACAAATAGTCCTAATGATATAAGATTGTTGTAACCCAGCCAGATCCATTTCACAGAGGAGCAATTAATTGAAGTATTGTGTTTAAAACTGATCTGTCTGTTATTGTAACAAGCCAGCAGCTAATGGCTGAATTGGCCTCAATTATGTGTCCAGAGCCCTATTTCAACTCATCATTGTGCCACCTGTCTCATGGCTTGCAGGAATATATTTTATACATGTATCAGTTGGCAGGAGTTTTACATTTAGTTTTATTTGGTTAATTTGTGATCTAAATCTATAAAGCAGGCCTTACAAATTAATCTGAGATTGTCCCTAGTTGCCAATCTGGTCTGGAAAAAAAAAGAGAATTTAATCAGCTGGTTTTATGTATGCATACTAGTGAATCTATATAGTTTTCAAATTTGCTGCCTTGTAACACATCTAGTGGCTGTCATTCAGACAGCCACTAGAGGTGTTTCATAGTCCAGTGCTGCACAGTGTGCAGCACTTCCTTTTAGCATTTCCATGCAGAGCGTGGAGACACTATACACAAGTACTGCACACTGTGCAGCACTGGACTAGGAAGCACCTCTAGCGGCCTTCTCAATGACAGCCACTAGAGGTGTTACAAGGCAGCAACGTAAACACTGCCTTTTCTCTGAGTCCCGGAGTTGAGGCAAAGATGGATGGTGCTAAATACAGGGATATTCTTGAGCAAAACCTGTACCATTCTGTGCGTGATTTGAGGCTAGGACGGAGATTCACCTTCCAGCAGGACAATGACCCCAAACACACTGCTAAGGCAACACTTGAGTGGTTTAAGAGGAAACATGTAAATGTGTTGGAATGGCCTAGTCAAAGCACAGACCTCAATCCAATAGAAAATCTGTGGTCAGACTTAAAGATTGCTGTTCACAAGCACAAACCATTCAACTTGAAGGAGCTGGAGCAGTTTTGCAAGGAGGAATGGACATGCCAGTGGTAAGATGTGGCAAGCTCATAGAGAATTATCCAAAGCGACTTGGAGCTCTACAAAGTATTGACTTTAGGGGGGGTGAATAGTTATGCACATTGACTTTTTCTGTTATGTTGTCCTATTTGTTGTTTGCTTCACAATAAAAAAAAAAAAAATTTCGGGGGGCGGAGCTAACGGCTGAGCGGACAAGACGCATGGCACCCGAGCTCCGACATAGTTGCTCTGATAAAGCCTCAAAGCTCACCCAAAAAGCCTCCACAAACCGGGGAAACACTTACGGTGGACACAGTAAGCAATGGGGAAGCACTCCCGAAAACCCCAAGGGCAAACCACGGGTCATACCCACGATATCGGCAGCTCTTGTCCCAAGCATGTAGGCTGAAAATGGCGGACGCCTACCACGACATGGGGATGGAGTCACTTTCAGCATCAGAAGACAAATACATAGGCGACGTGCCGACCCAGATACCCCAACGGAGGCAGCAGAATGCACCTCCGAGGCAATCAGAACACCAACTAGCCACTAAGGTCGACTTGTCCGGTATGGTGACAGACCTCAAGGCCTTTTTCGCGGCAGAACTAGTGGGCCTCAAGTTAGAGCTGAATACGCTCACGGGCCGCATAGAAGCTACGGATAACGGGGTCCAAGACCTGAAAGCCCAGCAAGAAGCTACGGCCACTCAAACGCTGGAACTAACAGCCATGTGCACACAGCTGAATACTGGAATGGGGCAGCTGGAGGATGCAGCAAGGCAGAGAAACCTCAAGGTGAGGGGGATCCCAGACACCATAACAGCGGAGGAACTACCGCACCTCATTAAGAGACTGCTTCAGGCTGCCCTACCGTCCAAACAGGCCAAAAGCATAACCCTAGACGGCCTATTCCGCATTCCGGGACGCCCACGAAACACACCTGGTTCCGCAAGAGATGTCATACTAAATTTCAAATCCCGCTCAGACAAGGAGGGCTTTCTCTGAGCCATCAGGGGCCAGACCCTGTTTGCATTTGAGGACCTTTCCTTGAACTTTTATCCAGACCTCAGCCGCCAGACGCTACAATGGCGTGCATCCCTAAAAGAAACCACGGCACAACTGAGAGCAGCGGATATACAATATAAATGGGGCTACCCACGGCTACTCATTGCCACGCGAGATGGGCACAACCACCGACTGACATTACTGGAGGAGGCTCCACAATTTGTGCAGGCGCTGGGCATCAGACAGAAGGCAGGAACCAAGACAAGACCCCCACACAAGTGGGATGTAGCTAATGTTCCAGCTTTTACCCCTACGGGACAGGCAACATCAGAGGGAAGGGGGTCAGCGCAGCCCCAGGACACTTGAATCGACAGAGCAGCCATCAGATATAGTGATATCGCAGCCGAAACAACCAGCCTGGTGCTAATACATGTTGGGCGGAGATGGGCTTGGCTCCCACATCTACGTATTGTTTTCTGTTTTCCTGATTTAGTTACTGTGTAGTTTTAATAATTATTGTCTTATCGTGAAGCCAGATATATTAACATCACTAAGCCATAATAACTATGATGTCACTAAGCCCATGGCGCCAATGCCACACACTCCACACATCTGCCTTGCGGAAGGGATACTTCCCCCCACAGACTCCGCAGTCAAGGAGCCATAAGACCATGTCACATACCACTATTGCCTCTAGCCGCTATAGAACACACGTCCCTAGAGCTTGTCCCCAACCCTAACCCCAAGCTAAAGAGGACAGGGACAGTTGATAACACGACCTTGTAGGCTCACCGGCCACCAAGAAGCGGCACAGGCAAAGTTGCACTACCATATATATCCTAACCTGTGATATATTCACTTCTAGCTCTTGTATTAAGATAAAATGTAAAATTGTGCTAATACCTGCTACAGTTCGTCACACCACTCTTGTACTGTGTCTTCATCTACTGTGCATGCAGCTGTTGTTGTGACACTGCCTGCTTTTGTGTTTAAACTTGCACTTTCAAAAATAAAGAATTTTTTTTTTTTTTAAATAAAAATCTTCAAAGTTGTGGGCATGTTCTGTAAATTAAATGATGCAAATCCTCAAACCATCCATGTCAATTCCAGGTTGTGAGGCAACAAAACACAAAAAATGCCAAGGGTGGTGAATACTTTTGCTAGGCACTGTATGCATACAACTTTAGCAAAAGCTATAGCTTAGGAACTAATATCAATGTTCAGCCAGGTTTGGATCCCCAAGGAAATACTGACAGATCTAGGAACTCAATTTATGTCCCGACTTACAAAATAATTATGTAGTCTCCCTAATACAAAGCAGTTGGAAAATTTAGTATATCACCCACAAACAGATGGTTTGCTGGAGAGGTCCGCCTTTTTAAGCCAGGAGACAGAGTGCTAGTTTTGGTTCCTACTGTAGATGGCAAATTCCATGTAAGATGGCATGGTCCATATGAAGTCATTGAGAGAGTGGGTGAGATTAATTATAAAGTTAGACAGCCTGGAAGTCGAAAAGAGGTACAAGACTACCATGTGAATCTACTTAAGCCATGGAAAGAAAGAGAAATGCTTGTGACAATAGAAGCATCACAACTCCCTCAGGACCCCACTGTAAATATATCAGAAACCCTGACTACCCACCAGAAGAGGGAGGTAAAAGACTTCATTAGACTAAAATAAAAGATGTTTTCTGCAAAGTTTCAGGGAGAAGTGTTAATAAAGCATGATATTATCACTGAGCCAGGGAAAAGATCCATCGTATGCCATATACAATATCACTGTCAGGGATTCAGGGAGGGGGAACACAAACAGTGTGTGAGGTTGCATTTATCTCCCAGTACTTTAACAGCTTAAAAGGACACTATATGCACCCAGACCACTTCAACGTAATGAAGTGATCTGGGTGTAGTGCACTTGTCATTTTAACTTTGCAAGGTAAAGCATTGCCATTTTGTAGAGATGACAATATTTTTATTGCAGGATTAAACACAGCTCTAGTGGCTGTCTTCCTCAATCAAGTGCTCATAGAGACTGCACACGTGCTGTTTTGCTGCGCATGGATATTTCTTCCTCAATGCTTTTCTACGAGGCTTGCTGACGCAGACGCAGTGAGCGACTGTAGCAGAGGTGTCTCGGTGCTAGAAACGAGCTATGTAAAATATATTTAACTGGATTTGTTTAACATCATAGAGGATGGACAGATCACAGCAATATAGGAGAACTTATAGTCTCGAAAAAGATGATCATTATTTTCGGTACTATAGGTTCCCTTTAATAAAATGTGCATCACATAGAAAATGTACTTTTGCAATAATAAGCCTAGTACCAACCTGGATAAGATCTGAGAGCTGTTGACACGTTCTGCCTTGCACCATATCTATAATCCATGGACTGCCACCTCCTGCAGTGAAGATCAGGAATTGCTGATGTAAGGGAAGTCCTATGTTAGGGCAAAGATTGGATGCATTAACTTTTCCTGTTACTGAAGAAGAAGCAATCATTCAAACACTCACATCACAAGTGAAAGTGTGTTCAAACTGTCTCTTCTGTAATTCACAGCCTATGATTTTGAGACTAAGCTCCAATTCCACTTTTCTCATATCGTAATCTCTATGTGGCTTAATCTGGGTTCTATTCTCAATGCTAACACTTTATCAAAACAGTTTATATTTCCCGACATTCTTCTTCCACAAAATCCCCTCACCTTCTTTATAATACTCTAGCACTACATCAATTCTGTTATCTTATGAGCATATCCCCTTCAACCTCACTCTGTACCTATATGTA